CAAGCCAGTTACCATACCAGTAAAAGGCGGGTAGGGGTACCTTAACCCCAGCCCCAACATCCTAGTGGGTAACCCGGCAAGGAGGTAGGCAGGACCAAAGGGGGTCCAGAGGGGGGCAAGACGCCCAGAGCAAATGAGGGGCAAGGAGCCCAGAGTTTGGGTAGGAGCATGGAGCCTAGCAAGGGGTGTAGAGCCTAGTGAGAGGCAAGGAGCTCAGAGGTGAGGAGCCCCGACTGTGTGTGTATGTTGGGGGGGGGGGCACAGAGCCCAGTATGAGTGAGAAGCATGGAGCCCAATGAGAGAGGCTGGAGTTAGGGGCCAGGACATGGTTATATCTGCAAGGCTTGGGCTGCGGTGTAGGGGAGGAATGGAGCTGCAGATACCACCCCATGGCATCAGGGCAAGAATGGGCAGCCTCCCACCTAATTAACACCATAATTATGTATCATCAAGGTGTGGCAGGAGAGGAGGCAGGCAGTTGGCCCAGAAATAGGTGGGTGGGTCAATGACAGACTGGCCCCGAGAAAGCCCCCTGTTAAAGGGCATCTAAATCACATCAGTCTCATTTCCCTTAATCCTTCCTGGACTCAACTGGTGACATGACAAGGAAGATTCCTGAAGCCTGGGATTATCAGACTTCTACACTACAAGTACTAGCTCTATATCTTAAGAAGAGGACACCAAATACATGGCTCTACATATCATACATGCTGTGTGTTCAGTCATAACTCCCTTCCCATGGCTGGGATGATGCAGTTGGGGATGATCCTGCTTTGAGCAGGGGTTGGATTAGATGTGACCTCCTTAGCTCCCTTCTAACACTCATTTTCTATGATTCAATGATAATTACCAAACAAAAGCTATCTATTGCCAGTTTGTAGTCATTTCTCTTTGTTCCAGTGTTGTTTTTCAGCCTAAAAGTCTTGTCTCCATCAGTATTTTCCCTATGTATAGAGTGATCTTTTTTTAATAGTCTTTCATAAGAAAAGATCTCAATTCCCTTAACTGTCTTAGTGGATCTTCTATGAACTCTTTCCAGTTTAAGTTAGTCTTTTTTGAATGCTACTGACCAGAACCACTATTTTCGTTAAATGGGATCTTACCCATTGCTTCTATCATGGTATTAGTACCTCCCTGGACATCTCACCCAATATATCTGGCATATACAGGGATACATATTCAGTTGGACATGGAAACTTTTTGAGGTTCACCCCTTAGTTGTGCTAATCCTGTTAAGCAATCATGCCTGATAAGGTTTTTCCATACTTTGAACACACTCTTTAATGAATGCAGGCATCTCTCAAAAGGAATGGACTGATTTACAAACAGTTAGTATTCATGGCTATTCCCTTGCCTGCACAGCTATCAAAGTCCCACCTAGGGATATGATCCATGAAGGCACAGGGGCTCCAGTAAGATGTATAAATATCTGCACCCCATACCTCCTGCTAAACTAGAAAGTTATACAGTGTGTATGTGACTACAGCATTTGCTGATGGCGAGGACCCAGCCAGGGTCACACCTGTAGGTTGCAGGTGAGTTGGGTGGAAACATATTGAATTTAACCTGGTTTTATTAACATATGACTTGTAAAGGCAACGGGAAACTTTGGTGCAAATTTTGTTCTCAATCAAACTGGTGTTGATCTAAATAATGCTACAGATTTCTATTCTGGATTCACACAGGTGCATTTGAAATCCGTTAGTTCGGTGTGTCAGTGAATTGTTTGAAACCTGCATTGTGAGACTTGTGGCAGCCATGACATTCTCATTAGTAAGCAGAGACATACAGTCTAGATTAAATTACTGTAAGGAAGGTATCTAACTTGTTTGAGATAGTTTATGTAGGAGTGTTCCTGCCCTGAGCAGGGCGGCTGGAGTAGATGACCAGTTGAGGTCTCTCTCAGCCCTGCATTTCTATGACTATAATCATCCTTAATTATATGCCTGCACTTATTCCATAATACTATAAATAACAATATTTTCTCTGCTATCTGATACACAAGAACTGTAACACTCTGTTCATTCATGTATTCTTGTGCTATATTCATCACCATATGAATCCAGTCTGCATCTCTGTTGATTTGTGCTTGTTCCATGATAAATTCACCTGCCATTAAAGTTTCTGCAGCTTTCATTCATTCACAGAGCAAGGAGCAAGCCTGTGACCTAAAGGAAACTAGATATCTGGTCAACTGCCTCTTAGAGGGCAAAGATAGCAGACCAAACCCCAGCCTGGCACAGGCAGTGACTGAGACTAAAGGAACCAAAGATATGGACTGCTGCCACCCCTTTGCTTTCCAACAAAATGGACTTTGCTTATATTTGTGTGTCTTCCATTAGCCAGAAGGATGGAAGATAATTTGAGTTGAATCATGGTAGAAGAAGGTGTGGCAGCCAATACTAGGGCAAACTGAAGGTCTGATAGGTCCTGTTACACATTATCATGTATAGGCAATGCATTTGAAAATGCTTCATTATTACAGGACGAGCTATGATACAAATGATGCAAAACAGCACCAGGGGCACCTTGCAAGGGCAGTCAGTCCATCGTTCAGCCCCAAGGCAGCGTCAGCTCCTACCAGATGCATTTTGACCTGTTTGTAAGATCTTTCCATTAGGGGGGAGTTCACAGCCTTCATAGGCAATGTGGGCTGAATGGTTTTCTCCTAAAGGACAGAGACAGAACCAGTGTGGAGTATGAGAAGAGTTTCTTGGCCGGGGAGATTAGCATGTTCTCACATGAACTGAAGGAGGAAAAGGAATAATTTTAGTGCTGTAAAGAAAAAGTGGTCCCACATGCAATATGTATCATAGACTCATAGAACCAGGGAGAACTTCTAGAGGTGACATCTAGTCCAACCCCCTGACAAAGGTTGGATCATCCCTATTCAAACCATCCCAGAAACATCCATAATCTTTGTAAAATTACTGTCATCCTTGACACAGCACCAGGCATCACATCCGACCCCGCCACAGGGAAAGATG